CACCCGCCGCCGCAGCAGGGCCACCTCCTTCTCGCGCTCGGGCCCCGGCTGGCTCCTCAGCTGCTGCGTCTCCTTCTCCTTCTCCTCTAGCTGCTCGGACAGCCTCTCAATTTCCTGGGAAGATTGAGAAGCGGATTTACTTCAGGAAAAGCACGTCAGAGACCAGTGTCTACAGCAAGAAACAGCCTGGTCCCCGTCGCTAGGCAACGGGCACACGCGCAGTCAGCCTCCAGACTCACAGCTCCAGCAGGGCCACCGTGTCGCTTCTCAGCAGCGAGTGACCGTGTGGCGCGCACCTGACACCTGACGGGAGGGCAGACGCCACGGCGGCCCCGCCCGCACTGGGAGGCGACCTGACTCAGAAGCAGGATCTTGGCAGAGTGAACCGTTAGGGTGGAGTCAGACTGGACGAGAAGGGACCCCATCAAATGACCAGTGTCCCTGTGAGCAGAGGAGATGTGCACACACGCGTGGAAGGCCACGTGGGGGCGGAGACGGGAGTGGCATCTCCAAGACAGAACACAGGCTGGCACTGCCACCAGAGGCGGGAGGCCAGGAAGGACCCCGGAGCCCCAGGGCGCCCGCCCTGCCCACCTGGGCGCGGTGAAGGTTACATCTCGGCTGTGAAGCACCCAGCGAGGCGCCGTCACAGGAAACGGCTTCGTTTTTAAAAAGTCCTACAATTGCACTTTGCTTTCTCCGCAGCCTCAGCCTGGGGCTTCCCCGTTTTCAAGGAACCTCCCGAGGAGGCCCAGGAGCGCCCGGCCGCCCCACGTCCCACGGCGAACAGCCTGGAAGGTGAGTCGGGAGGAAGCGGAGGGAGGGGTGTGGCCTGCTGGTACCAGACACCAGGAACCTAGAACCTTCTCTTTTACAAAAACATCAACATCCAGAGGGACCTAAACTGGAAACCGACATTCCCGTTCCCACCAGCCCCTCCACCAGCTGCGCTCAGCAGAGGAGCCATTCCACCTCTGGGCACTTCTCTCTCCAGAACCTTTATAAGCACCGAGAACGTGCTTCTACCAACCTCGCCTTCCCTCCGGAACCGCCTTACTCCGCCCGCCTTGTGCTTTTGAACTTGGGGTTCCAGTTCACAGCCCCCACCTCCGCCGCCTGCGCTGCCTCCTGTCCTCGTGCAAACACCCGGGTAAGTGCCCACAGTCGCACAGCCGCAGTGGCTTTAGGATTGGGGTTCAGCACTAATTGGTGGAACTCGGGACCCCACCCCACCCCCATGCAAACGCCTCCACGGGTCAGCCCAGCACATGACTGCACCCTCTGGCCTGTGCCCAGAGAACGTTCTGGAAACCTTGCCCTCGCAGGGGATTTCTGAGAGTCCTCTTTCCCCACTTCCCTTGGACTTTGCTCTAGAGATGAAGGAAGAGGGAAGGAGAACTTCAGTTAGGATGGCCATCTGGCTGTCTCGCAGAGGCCTCGGAAGAAGGGCAGGAAGGCGGGAGGTGACAGGAGGGGATGAGGCCATCAGACCCTGGCAGGGGAAGCGAGCCCCCGAGGACAGGAGAGTTGGCGGGGCTGGCGGCGACGGTGACAGCCTGAGGACAGCCTGAGAACCGACGCTTCACGGGGCTCCTGGCCAGACCCCGACTTTCACTTTCACCCAGGAAGAAGCCCCTCGGAGGGGCAGCGGGCATCAGCGCCTCCTCCCAGGCGGCCTGGGCCCCCAGGGTGTGTGCCGCCAGCGGGGGCCGTGCAGGCCCCGTGGTAGACGCACCACATGAGAAGCAGGAGGAGGAAGCCGGTGGAACCCAGGCTCTCGCTGCTGCTGTTCCCGTGCACACACCTGCCTGCTGCTTGGCCTTAATGTGTGTGTTTCCTTTAAAAACTGACCACTTTTTTTTTAATTGAATTTGTTTTTTGAGAGAGAGGAAGGAAGAGAGAGAAACATTGATCTGTTGTTCCACTTACTAGCATGTATGCATTCACTGGTTGACTCTTGTGTGCCCTGACCAGGGACTGAGCCCCCAACCTTGGCCGACGGGGACGGCACTCTCACCAGGGCAATAACGGACCCCTTTCTGAAGGCCCGCCCGCTGGTCAGGGCCTGCCCGGGTCTCACCCCACAGCTCGCAGGAGCCTCCTCACCTGCCGTGTTCTCCTCGGCCTCCTCGGCACCTGGACTCTGCTGCTGCGTCGCTACCGTGTC